CCCCACACAGAGCGGTGTTGCACGTCCGAGTGTTGATAGACTTGCATCGGCACGAGATACAAACTGAAGCAGGAGACCAGCTGGCGCAGTTCCACGCGCTCGCATGCAAGGGGCGGACCGGAAGGCACACTTCCACGCAGCTGTCATATTGTAAAAGCAGCAAAATGCAGCGAGGCACGTGGGCGGTTTTCACGTGGCACGGGGGTGTGTCATCGGAGGACGTGGTGGGAGTCGTTTTCGTCCCTGTTCGCCTACGGCACCCCCCCCAAAACTCTGCTCCCTGTTTTTCTTGTGCCCAGGGGAGCATCACAGGAGGACTGCTCCCTTACAATATAATAACAAGAGGAGGGAAGATAAGAAAACTACAGCCCCATCATACTCTTCTGTTTCGGTTTTCAATAGAAACAGGTTTTTGGAGTCTAGTTTCGGGTGAAGTTTTAAATGCAGTTCGTTGGCGTAGGTTTCATAAGAGTTGTGTCAGTGGCCTCGTCGTCCAAGGTTTTGTGGGCCCTGACCCTTCACTTATGCGGAGAAAAATTCATCCGCCTGATCTAATAGACTGGTGGCTGAACGTTTTCCAGCGGCAAGTGAAGAGCGTCAGAGGTACCGACTGAACCTTTTGGGCCCGATTTGGGCCTCCCTAGCCTCTCGTGTCTGGGCCACGATTGTGATGTCTCGACCACACTCAACTTGGCATTTATCCGGAACCTGCGCGAATAAACTGCACTTAAAATTCCACATAGGACAAGACTCCAAAAATTATGACGAACTACTTTCTGTAACCGTGCGACTTTCTGCATGACGCTACTTCGGTGGTTGATCAAGAAAGGCCGGCCCAATTACATGAATGCTCTCGCTTTTCTGGAAAAGGGGGATGGTCCCACGTAAGTTGGTAGTGGATCGCACCTTAGCGAGTGCGGATAATAACTGTTGTCATAACTTCTTTATTGTTCTATTGTGGGAGATGGGGATTTTGACGCGATCGTCGTGCGGGGAAATCTTTTTGAATTTTCAACCGATGTTGAGCCCCCACGTGCTCTCAGAATTTCCTTTCTCGAATTTCTTTTTGCAATTAGGATTTAGGCTAGGGATTTAGGGTGCACCAAAATTTTTGCCTGCAGCCGCACGACGCTTCTTGCTTGCACGCGCTCTGATGCGTCACGTTCCGTGCTTTCGCTTCCCTGCACCTGAATCTTGCCTGTAACTGTAATTTTCTTCTTGGTGAGCGTGAATGTAACTGTAAACTTCTCTTTCTTGATATCTTCGTCGCGCCCATGCGCGCGTATTTTCTTCTCGATCTTATTGGCCTAAGTGATGCATGACTGGATCGATGCGTGGAGAGTGGCTACGTCCCCCACGCCGCGGCCCGGCCATGCAGTCGT